CATTCATATTCTTGACATTTCTAATGACCCCAGAAAATGATAAATAGTCGCAAAGTACCACTGTACATTATGAATCCTAAGATAAATGCTAACTGCCTGTCTTTGGTTCAGTGCCAACTAGAGCTGCACAATTCTGGATAAATTAAGAATTCCTTTTTTTTGTTTGTTCATTTAAAAAAAATCACGATTCTCCAATTCTGAACAGACAACTAAACAAAATAGCATGCAATTTACAAGAGGTTCTGAATATTTAATTAATTTGATTTTTTTTTTTAAATAGTTTGAATGAATGATTCAATGACTCACATATTAATACTTCACTTGTTTCATTACTGGATGAATCAGTTTTTTTTTTTTAAAGAAATCTCTTGAATTAATGATTCACTTGTCACTTGTCGCCACCGTGGCGTAACGATGCTGTTTCATACAGTAGCTAGCCTAACTGCTTTCTCTGGGTCAGCGGCAGTGGCAATGCATATTTGAATGTTCTGGAAAAGAGCCGTCCATTGCAACGAGAGCATTGTTCTCAGGTGACAGCTAAAAACAACTAGAGAATTTCCATAGAGAACTATACAGGCATCTAGTGGTAACACCAAAATTAAAAAGAAAAAATATTATAGAACAAAAATAAATTTCATTGGTTTTACTGGGATGGAGGAAGTTTCATTTTTAGGTGTCCGGTCACTTCTGACCGGGAAGATAACAAAAGGTGCACCCAAATGAAGAACACCTGAGGGTTACAAGATATGAATTCCTCACAGGCCTGAAGAGCATTGGACTGAGATTCATTACCACACAAACTGACTTTTAAGCATTAGATTTTTAATATATATACAGTATATATATATACTGTATATATATATATATATATATGGTAATGAATCTCAGTCCAATGCTTTTTTGTGTGTGTACATGAAAAACTGTTAGCAGTGCTCATTTTGGGGTTCTCTCTGAGAATAGAGAATCTAAAAGGACCTTTCTAACCCTTCGGAGGCAGACAGGCTGTAATTTGAGCAGTGAGTGGTCTGCTCAGGTATAATAGAGGAGTCCTGGCGAGAAGTGAAATGTGCTTTATCTTGATGCCAGAGCACTTTCTGCCCAAACAATCCAAGAAAGCCTTTTCTATACTTCAAGTGAACAGTAAATTATAGCAGTTATATTGTCCTTACCTGAAAGGCAAAACCTCACGCTAAAATCTCGGGTCTATCTTGTCTCGCTCTCTTCTCTCTGCCAAAAACAACTGTTTAGTAGGTTCTTGCATCTCCTCTGCTAATAAGATACATTTCAGTTACCATAACAGCTCCCCCAAGACATATGAAAACACAAAACAACCCTATCCTTTTGGTTTAAACACATTAGCAGGCTGAGTACTTCATTTGAACCATAAGGAAGATGAAGAAAAGTCTGTCTAGAATTAGGAGGGAAAAATCATTACAATGAAACAAAAAGGAAGAGTGCAATGTGCGAGGAAATTACAACTAATACCCTGAGAGTGAGTGAACAAATAAGACATGGAACAAATAAGACAAGCATTATTTGCTTCATTAGCTGGTTAATGCAGTAGAAAGAGAAGGAGGCCCAGTTTCAGAGTCTTTCGTCCTGGTTTAAAGTTGTAGCTGTACGTGAGGGAATACTATTATTGATTGAGTCCAAGCAATTTTTAATTCCTGAACACATGGGGTGTCCATCAATTGTCACTTTGACCATGAGCGTCTGGGAGGATGTAGCTGAAGAACAGGAATGTTTTATTTCCAAGAGACTATGGCAGAAAAGCAATCAACAATACAAAATTAAAACATATTACAAAATAAAAGATCAAATAATGTATAAACCACTCATTTCTTTTGATAACACTGTTTAAGGGGAAGGCTACGTCTTTTTTTGCCTCCCTTGAGCTCATCGTTTTCTCACTGAGAAATACAGTAAAAGCAAAAAAAACACATGAGAGAAGAGAGTGCCTCCACATTTCTGGGACTGGTTAATTACTTTGTGAATGTGATAGAGCCGGGTTGATTATAAATTTGCTACATCAAAACCGCATGAATGGGTCACACTGGTCAAAATGGATGGAGTAATAAAAAAAAAAAACTCTCCCACTCAGACATCATCATCAGGATAAAAAAATGATCACTTAAGGATCTGCGAATCATTTGTTTTTTAGCAGCCACTCTGTAATAATCATAATGGTTTCACTTTCTTTTGATGGTCCCTTTAAAACATTCTTTTGACTATAAGTAACGTTGCACCTACATGTCAACTAACTCTTATTAGGGTGTTAGTTGAGTATTAATAGACTGGTAGGGTTAGGGTTAGATTAAGTTGACATGTAGTTGCAAAATTACTTATAGTCAGTAAAGTGTCTGTTGGAGGACCATCACAATAAAGTGTTTGCGGATATTAAGCAGACAATCTACTAATACTTTGATGAGAGTTAGTTGACATACAGTTGCAAAGTTACTTATAGTCAACAGCACGTTCAAAAGGGACCATCAAAATAAAGTGTTACCATAAAAATATAATAATAAGAAGAAAAAGAAGAAGAAGAAGAAGAAGATAGTAATATTTATTCTAATTTATAAAAATAATTTCCAAAGAACAACTAGTAATAAATATAAAATTCATTGAATATTCTTGTTTCTGTATTATTTTAATTATTATTATTTTCAACTTGATTCAACTTTGATGTGGTTTAATTAAAAAAAGAATGTTATTATAAATATTTTTAAAATATTATAATAATCAATTGCTTGTTGTAGTCCCTAATGTAAGGTAAATCATATCCCATGTGCCATTTCCCAGTAAACTGTGTAAAATATCAAATGTAACTATAAATTCATTTGCATCGCATTGAAGATGAAACAAATACTGAGAGGGAACTTTGCCTCGGCCACTGCTGAGCAATGAGTTTCAACTTACAGGTTCATTCACAACAGTCTGTAGCACTGTTTTTGTTTTGTATTTACTCAGGGCAAAGAGTAATCCTTGATTTTTCACAGAAACACGTACAATAATTTATGTATGATAGGAGCTTTTGCATTATTTATAAGTACTGTAAATGCTTTGGAATAAACTTAGCTTTTGCCCAACTTTTGTCAAGTTTTTATTTCATTTGGACATTGGTGGTTTTGCTTTAAAAAAAAAACAAAAAAAACATGGTAAATGTATTACGAATATAAAACATCTTGCCTGTTTGTCATATTGTGCAATAGTTAAGAAAGTTAGAAAAGTTTTATGACTTCCAGGTCCTATTTTTTTTAAGTATTAATATCATGTTGGGAAGCCAACTGGTACATCAATATATTTTGCACCTCTCCATTTGATTCCAGCAGTGAGAACAGATGTAATTAGACATGTAAATCACAGCAGGGTCTTTAGCGGTATGCTAATTAAAGGTGCATTTACAAAGAAGGGAGGGTGTATGAATTAAATACACTCTGCTGGGAGTGTATCTAGTAGGCTACTGCATTCCACAGAGACCCACTTCTAACTGTACTTTCTGTCTGACTCGAACTTTAGAGTGCACTAAAGGGCACTTGAACAATTGTGTTTGCCAAGTGGATTTTGAAGGAAAAGATTATAAGACTTGAGATATTGTCTGCAAAATACAATAATAAAGACTGCCAACTTTTGTAATCATGTTTAATAGTAGGGTTGTTTGAGAACAAGTTCTTCTAGCTACCTTAATATAATTTTACTGACCACTTGTTTAGTCTCCTGTAAATCCTCAATGGTCCAAAAATCACACTCCACATATGTATATTTAATAAAGTATGTTCATGATTGGATTGGATTTTGTCATGCTTTTATTCAGCAAGGACACATTCAATTTATGAAAAGTTACAGTAAATATGATGTAACTAAAGATTCCAAAATCTTTTCTAGTAAACTTTCAATGTGTCAAAGAATACTGGGGGGAATGTAACAGAGTTTCCACAAAAATATGAATCACCACAACTATTTTCAACATCGATAATAATAAATGTTTAATAATAAATGTTTAAAAGCATGTTTAAAAAATAATAAAAGCAGCGAATTAGCACATTAGAATGATTTCTGACACTGATGGCTGGAGTAATAGATTTGCTAATGCCATCACATAAATACATTACATTTTGAATAAATAAAAACAATCATTTTCATTTTAAAAATCCAGCCTTGGTGAGCATTCTATATTCTAAATTCTATATTCTATGACCCCGAGGATTCATAAACAGTTGTTCATTCATAAAATGTTTTAGATGCTGTCAATATGTATGCATTAGTGTCTATGCAAATGTATGAAAATGCATGTGTGCTGGAACCAACTACGAACGAGATCATGCACAGATGTAGACTGTTCAGAATAAGATAGCCAACCAAACAGCAAAGGAATGACTATAAATGAAAAGGACAGAGGACTGTGTGTGTGGTTAGACTGGTGATGTTTGTGGGTGTTGAGAAACAGCCACTGTGTCTGTTCACTTGTTCGGCCGCTGCTCCCAGATTTCCCGTAAACTTGTCCGACAATGTTAAAAATTCTCTGCAACAACAAATTGCTTACACAGACAGAGAATGAAAGGCTGAGATATAGAGGGAGATGACTATAAGGAGACATTTCAAGTGTTTGTGGAAGCTCTTATGCTCCAGAGAGGATGTCCTGTCTGCTGCCTGACCCCCAGGATGCCTCTGAACCACAAACATGCTGTGGTCACAGTCAGCAACGATGACTAACTAATGGACAAGAGAGAGAAAGAATGAAAGACAGCAAAAGAAAGAGAGATGGTCATAGTTTCCCCTTATCTTGAAGAAAAAGCATTGATGTGTAAAGCTGAAGATGCCTCTGAACATGCACAGACTCAAACTCTGTCCTTTGTGTATTGCAGCTGGCCTCTTCAGGCATAAACACACATGCACAAACAAACTTTCCCCAATTTTTCACCCCTAGGCAAAACTATAGACTGACTGCATTTCGTTTTTCCATGTAGTTTCATGTTGGCTTGATGCTGTGTTTTTCTGCCAAGGTCACGACTGGCTGATTTCCACACAAACTGTCAGATGACCCATCACTCCATCAGCAGCTGCCTCAACGATGACTACCAGGCCTGCCTTGTGTCTTACACCAGACTCATTGGTGAGCTAAAGAATGATTTTCATTATTCTGTTTGATATATAGATGTCGACAGAAGTAAATGCAGTGAATTTTCATAGGCTATTTATCTAGATTATGTTTATGCTGTGGTCAAACTGACACCAAACAAAATCAACATAACTTTTCTGAATAGCTTTTCTATACCAATAAAACTGAGTGGAAATAGGTAGAAACTGTCACGGAATGGGTAGATATAGGTGCGAGGACTCAATGGGATTTATTAAGTAAACAAACAAACACAAACTACAAACAAAAATCCCTCGTGGGGGAAAAACGAGAACAAAAACAGGCAGGAACAGGATACACAAGGAACATGGGAAATATGGACAACGAACCAGCACAGGACTGCAAACACAGGGAGACTAAATAACAAACATAAGAGGGTAACAACAAGGCAGGTGGGGCAAATCAATCAATAATCAGGTAACAAGATGGGAGGGGCCAGGCAATTGACAAGAGAGCACAATGGCATAAGGAATACAAGACAAGCCATGTGCTCACAAAAAACCTAAACACAAACACATGACACACCGGGAATGTCTGACAGAACCCTGACAGAAACGCACATTAACATACAATTAATACAAAACTGTTAACCTCTTAACCGTCTCCAGAGCGTCGGCGCACTGAAGCGTTTTTTTATTTATTTAGTTCAAATATACTATCAGATTTAATGTTATACCTTGACAAACTATACATCATTAAAAAGATATAAGACTCAAGATTCAGTATTTGACCACTATTGTATTCTGAGAAACTTATAGTGACAGTTATGTCTTAATTTGTGTCAGGAGTTATGAAATTAAAAAATGAGTCGTTACCTTTAATATGAATTATGAGCCTCAGCCGGTCTCATTCAGAAAAAAACTCCCGTGCGATCGTCATGACAGCGCTTGACAAAACAACGTCCCTCAGGGCTTTTAGCTCAAACATGTGCAGATTTGGAGAAATATTGATAGATTCTCATAGCTTTACATTAGACTTCTATAGACAGGAATAATATTTATTGAATTTATACCCAAATGCGTCGATGTAATCATTTTGAGCGCTGTATACTCTGTACTGTGTTATCAATTCATCCTGAAAGTGAGGGCGCTGTTTGAACAGAAGTCCATAATATATGGATCACATGAAGAAGAGCCATAATCATGTGACATTCAGGAAGTCCTGCCACAACAAAGCTATCCGAGATCGCTGTAAAGTGCAGATAAAGATGTTTTGAAGACAATAAACATGATTGCAATGATATTTGATTTACCTGTGTTCTTCGAGTCATGTCAGGTATTTTCATAATAATTGATTATATGTATAATGTAATGCTAATCGAGATAGACTTTCAAATTGTGCAGAATACAATAAAATAATATATTTTCTATCTGATTTTTTTATCTGAAGCCAAATCAGATTACAGAAAGTTATTTAAAACACTCGACTTGCGCTATAAAGTAAGTTTGGAGAACAAACATAGTTTTATTCTCATAAATTGTCGTGTATTGATGGTGTGCTAAGCTAACATGCTAGCTAGTACTGAGCACCTGCTACCTTACTTCGGTGTAATTTTTATGATTTTTTTCTAAATAAGAATGCTTACTGAAATGTTTCGTTTTTCAAAAAGGGCATTTGATACAGTTTCACTGTGAAGTGAGAACTTTTATAAAATAAATGAGGGATTGAAACAGTGTGAATTGCTAGTCGTTAGTGATTATAATGCAGACAAAAGAAAAGCATATTTAGAGCAATAAACAGGCTGGAGAGGTGTGAATATGTGCAGGGGAGACTGAGACTGAATGGGGCTCGTTTTTGCATCACAAAACAATAGAGGCAATAGACTGAATAGATGCTTATAAGAAAACAATAAACACCAGTCTAATCAAAATAAAGTCATATGACATGATCTTGAAAAACATTGAACTAAATACAGAGTTTTAGACTTATCATCTTCAAATTTTAAATATAACATGGCCAGACATGTGGCTTTAGCTGCAGTGCATTTCTAGATTGCTACAATGCCAACTTCAATTTTATTTTCATGAAGATGTTTCATAAAAATAAATGTATAATAACTTTACAAAACTTTGAAGCTATTTATAACTATTTTTTTCATTATGATAATAATTAATTCTACATTTACAATAAACTTCCAGGTGTCAGCTTTCAAATGAGATCTTACTTGTGCTTTTAGTACAAAGGGTTCATGAACTGTATCTGTTTCAGTTTGGGAATGCCATATCTGGGGATTTTTCAAAAATGGGCTTGAAGCTTAACAGGTTAATTTTGAAACTGATATTATTATTTTTACATATACACTACTTTTCAAGCGTTTGGGGTCAGTGCTATTAAAAAAAAAAGAAAAGAAATTTAATAATGAATCATTTTATTCAGAAAGAATGCATTAAATTAATCAAAAGTGACAGTAAATACTTTTACATTGATACAAATAATTTCTTTTTCAAATAAATGCAGTTCAAATTTCTTTTCTTCAAAGAATCCTAAAAAATGATCAAGGTTTCCACAAAAACATTAAGCAACTATTTTCAACATTTATAATAATAAGAAATGTTTATTGAGCATCAAATCTGAATTTCTGAAGAATCGTGTGGTATTGAAGACTGGAGTAATTATGCTGAAAATTCAGCTTTGTATTGAAGTAAGACCTTGCATTTTAAAAATATTAAAGTAGAAATAGAAGGTGTTTGAAATTGTAATAATATCTCACAATATTGTAGATTTATAGTATTTTATTTATGTATATTTTTCATCAAATAAATGCAGCCTTGGAGAGTGTAAAAAAAGACTTAAAAACAAATAAAAAATCATACCGACACCACACTTTTGAACTGTAATTTATAGCATAATATACTAAAAAATTCAATCTCAAGAGAACATGAGGGTTAAAAGCACTATTAATATTTTTTCAAACATTGTATAACTTTAAATATGTATAATATTTTATATTAATTATTAATATCAATTGATTAATTATTCAATCATTAATATTTAATCTTTCGAAAACATTGTGCGCATCCAAATCAAATATAATTAACTAAACTGAACAAATATTTGATACATATTTTTCATTGATCCAGATGATAAATAACAAAAAGATAAAGAAATTGTTCGAAATGTTACCTCTGAAAATGAAGTAATGTTGATGCCTGTGTTCATTTCCTAATTCAATGTGATATACATTATTAGTTACTAGAATGACATATTGTGTTTGATTTGTTCTGCCTATAGGTACGGACATGACTCCTAACTACATGGACTCAGGTCACTCAAACTTCACCATCTCCCCCTGGTGTTCCTGCAAAGGCAGCGGGAATCAGGAAGAGGAATGTGAGAAGTTTCTACAGGACTTCATGGAAAACACCTGTCTCCGTAAGTCTTTCCTCTTTTGTTATTAAAGCGTTCCACCTGTAATGTCTGTCCCTTCCAGCTTCACTCACCTCTTAGCTTTCAGCATTTGCATTCAATTCAGAATTATACTCAGCTTTTTGATAAGTATTCAGGATATGGTACTTATGAGCATGCGGTTGTTTAGAAATAGGTTTCTTTGCTACGTTTTAAACCTGAATGCTGCAGCTACTGTTACAATGTTTGAAAGCTGCCATGTTTTGTGTTTACTTTCCCTTACAAAACTCATCACATGTGTGGAAGCTCTACCCACCTCCAGAATCATAAAGTCTGATTGTTTTGTAACTAATGTCATGCTTGTTAGCAAAAAGTAAACATGTCGGCTGAGGCTAAATAAGGCTTCCACCCTGGCTTGTTATCGTGTGCTGCTACAGGACTCCTTTTATGGTATTTAATGGTGATAATGTGAGACTTCAGCCATTTAAAACTGAGTTATTTGGCTTATTTTCAAAAGATAATGAAATTAAATTCATGTGGACAGACGTTTAGATTTACAGATTTTAGATTTAATTGAGGATGTTCATTCTTTAGCATTAAAGTCGGCATTCTTATTGTGACGTACACTGGTGATCCAAAACATTATGACCAGTCGCAGGTGAGGCGAATAATGTTGATCGTCTCCTAACAAGGCCACATATCAAGGTCTGGGTAGATTAGATGGTAAGCAAACAATCAGGTCTCGTAATCAGCGTGTTGGATGCAGGAGAAATGGGCAGGAATAAAGATCTGAGGGACTTTGACCAGGGCCAAATTGTTCTGGCAATGCAAATGGGTCAAAATATTTCTGAAATGGCAAGGCTTGTGGGTTGCTCCCAGTCAGCAGTGATGAGAATTTACTAACAGTGGTCCGAGGAGGGATGAATCACAAACTGGATACAGGGTGTTGGGTGCACAAGGCTCATTGATGCACAAGGGCAACGGAGGCTATCCCGTCTGGTCCAGGCCAACAGAAGATCTACTGTGAGACAATTTTAATTATGTTTACGGGAGGATTGTGTCACAATACACAGTGCATTACACTCTGCTGCGTAGCCACAGACCAATCAGATATTGGTGATGACCCCTGTTCAACATCAAAAGTGCCTTGGCACGCGAGCATTTGGAACTGGACCTTGGAGCAGTGGAAGAAGTTCGCCTGGTCCGATGAGTCTTGTTTTCTTTTACATCACATGGATGGCAGTGTACGTACAGTATGCCCCGTTTACCTGGGGAGGTGATGGTACCAGGATGCACTGTGGGATGACGACAATTGGACAAAAGGGAGTGTGATGCTCTGGTCAAGGTTCTGCTGGGAAACCCTGGGTCCGGCCATTCATTTGGACGTAAATTTGAACACGTGCCACCTACCTAAACATTGTTGCAGTCACACCACCAAAAACTCTGATTGTTTTCATTCACTGTTTCTCCCTGCCTTGTTTGTCATCATGGTCACTGATTTGATTTTGTGATTGTGTTCAGGTGTGTGCGTGTCATAATCTCCCCTTCTTAAGTTCAAGTTAGTTGGTGTGTCTTTGTCGGGTCTCGTATGTAGTTGTGTTTGGATGTACCTTGTGGAAATACCTGTTGCATTAAAGCCCGTTAAACCTTCTTCATCATCCTCGTGATCTTCGTGTTATTCGTTTGTTTAGTCTCTCCGTCACGACCCGTGACAGTTGCAGACCAGGAACACCCCTTCATGACAATGGTGTTCCCTAGTGGAAGTGGCCTCTATCAGCAGGATAATGCTCCCTGTCACACTGCAAACATTGTTCAGGAATGGTTTGAGGAACCAAGAGTTCAAGGTGTTGCCCTGGCCTTCAAATTCCTGCAGCGTGTGTTATGAATAACGTGGTTTTCAATTCTTAATTTTAATAGGAATGCACGCGTTTGTAAATTTCGCATGAGGGCAAAAAATTTCACCACAAGGATTTTGCAAATTGGTGACTGTGTTGACCGACAGGAGCCTGCTAGGTTTGAGCTGCTGCTTGGTTTGCTTCTCTATGAGCTGTGGTTTATATACAATGAAACACTATTGACAATAGATGGACCTTGAAATTTCTCTATGTGACCACACCTTTAGCTTCGAGACAATAATAGTTCCTAAACAGTGAATAAATTAACCTTTAGCAGATATACACTTTTATGCACTTTAATGTTTCAGTCTTTCTCTTTATGAAAAAAGTATTCACTCGTAGCCCATCATATTTTGTCCAATCAAATGCGCTCTAGAATAAGAATGGCCACACTCAATACCATTTATACAGGTAACTGACTAGCAATAGCATGTAGCAAATCATAGTTCATAACTGTTGGTGAAAACATCTTGTTTCTATACTGGCAAGTACATGATTCTTTGTCTGGGTTTTGCTCAAGAAAAGGATTTTTGGTAAAGAAAGCTCTTTTTAGGAAGAAAAGAAATACAGAAACAAAAATTGGAAAATTACTTTCATTTGTTGGTAACACTGAAATGACACATGTCATGAATATGAAAGAGGTTTTATGCATGTTTATGACCACTGTCATTAAAGGGTTAGTTCACCCAAAAATGAAAATTATGTCATTAATGACTCACCCTCATGTCGTCCCAAGCCCATAAGACCTTCGGAACACAGTTTAAGATATCTTAGATTTAGTCTGAGAGCTTTCTGTCCCTCCATTGAAAATGTATGTACGGTATACCGTCCTTGTCCAGAAAGGAAATAAAGACATCATCAAAGTAGTCCATGTGACATCAGTGGGTTAGTTAGAATTTTTTGAAGCATCGAAAATACATTTTGGTCCAAAAATTCCAACACAGAGGACTTTTTGCCCATATGACTGATTTTTATGCCCAGCCATATTTATTTGAACCCGAATACACGGACGCACCAGATACACGTCAGCAGCGTCTTATATCATCAGCGTCACTGCGGACTCGTGAACGCAGATTGACAACAAAACCGGAAGACAATACAATGCTGATTAAAGTTGTAGTTTTATTATTTTTGGACCAAAATGTATTTTCGATGCTTCAAAAAATTCGAACTAACCCACTGATGTCACATGGACTATTTTGATGTTGTTCTGTATTTCCTTTCTGGACAAGGACAGTATACCGTACATACATTTTCAATGGAGGGACAGAAATCTCTCGGACTAAATCTAAAATATCTTAAACTGTGTTCCGAAGATGAACGGAGGTCTTACGGGCTTGGAACGACATGAGGGTGAGTCATTAATGACATATTTTTCATTTTTGGGGGAACTTACCCTTTAAGTGTCATTCGCTCAATTATGACATTTTTAATGCAAATATGACATTGTTTGAGATGTCTTTGTTATGACACCTTGACATAAACCAATACATCATAACCTGTCAGTGTCTTTGTCATGGCAACTTGACATAAACCAATACATCATAACCTGTCAGTGTCTTTGTCATGACAACTTGACATAAACCAATACATCATAACCTGTCAGTGTCTTTGTCATGACAACTTGACATTACTAAGACAACACAGCCTGTCATAAATATGTCATAAACATGACATAGCAGATTAATTATCAAACTTAAGAAACCACTTAGCTCTATGGGTTAGCATTACATTAAACTGTCAGGTGGTTGGTTTTGACATTGGCTGTCATGAGGCCATTATAACATTTTAATGACAAATGCAATTTATACCACTGTAGTTGAGGTCAAGAAAAAATATTCATGGCACAGTTATAATGACCTCGTGACAGCCATGTCATGTGTCATGTCATGATTATGAAGGTGTCATGTCAGTCTTATGCACACCCCTTCATGTAAAGTGTTACAGATTTGTTAAAGAAAGATTAACTTTACAATCCTTCAACAGACTTTGTTAATCACATTTCATATAAAAATTCATTATTAGAGATACAATTAGAAGGCAAATAAAAGAGAATCTAAGATGAAGAAATTCCACAAAAAAAAAAATTTGACTGTTTGGCATGATTATCTTCCAGAGAGTGAAAGAAATAACAGAGCGGAAACGAAAACATAAGATAATACACTACAGAGCTTCAGGCATTAGCACAGGAGACATTTCATCCGATATCCCACTGTGAGATAGGCTGAGAGAGATTTTTCAACTCAAAACAAGCAAGGATACAGTATAATTCGCATGGATTGCATGTAAATCATGGCTCTGTTACCAAAACTAGCAAGCTGCTTTCGTAGACTGCATTTTAAGGAATTGTAGGCACACTTCTGACGTAAGGGCTGTTCCAAAAATGTCTTATTTTGGGTGAACTGTAAGGCAGCATCACATATATCCTTGTTGTGGATTGAATAAGATGTTTTAGATATACATGCAGAAAAGTAGTAAACAGTATTTGGGTCCGGATGTTTGATGTTAGCAAACTCTTTTGAAATTAATTGTGAGTCAAATCTCCTGTCTGCTTTGCGTAAACAGCATTACACTATACTTATAGTGTAGGTACTGTAAGTGAAGTTGTTGCATATTAAACGTGTTTTACGAGCAAGCATGAAGGCTTGAAAGGCTCACCAAATTGTGAGACAGCCTGTGTATGTGTGTGTGGTGAGTGGATGTGTGTCCTGGTTTGTTTTTCTAGCAATTAACTGATCCAAAATCTGCAAGCGTTGCAGGATTAGTATTTAGCTGAACTGCTGACCTCCATATACAGCTAACTAATGCCTCATCCCTCACAAACTTGGAGAGGAAGACACATATTACTTTTCTCCTCAAGGGACCTAGTGATTTAAACTCTCTCTGACTTTCTGACTTCCTACAGAAAAATACTCTTATGAAAATGTGCTTTGAATCTATGATTTCTTTTCTCTTTTGTTTTTCTTTTCCTGCAGGAAATGCCATCCAGGCCTTTGGCTATGGGTCGCTACCCAAGCCTGATCCTCAGCCTTCTACAGGCTCAGTGAAGCCTGATCTTGAGCCCACTGCCAGTGTCCCTAAAACAACCATGGAAACTGGGGAGGATCCCTGCATCATATCGTCCTGTCCGAATTTAAACGTAAGTCGAATTTGAGGGGGTCAGGAAGTTTTAGCATTGTATATTGCATCGTATTACAGGTAAGTTCATTGCGGTGTACATATTTCATATTGTTTATCTAATTTATTTTAACCAATTATTTTGAGTAGTCTTACCGTTACAGGTGTAAGGATCAAACGTATATTTTAATGATAATGTAAATGTTAATCAGTAAAAACTAGGGATGCACGATATAGGATTTTGGCCGAAATTCGATATGCCGATATTTTCAAACTAATTTTGCCCGATGCCGATGCCGATACCGATACCGATATATTTATATATTTTTTTAAGTGCAAAAAAAGCTTATTAAAGCTTCTATTAAAGTTCTCAGTCAAGAGCAGTGAGTGATTTCCTCTGTGATTTGTTGTTTTATTAACATTAACGGGATAGTTCTCCCAAAAATTTGAATTGTCATCATTTACTCTCTCAAGTTTCTTTCTTCTGTTGAAAATAAAAGTTATTTGGAAGAATGTGGCTAACCAAACAGTTGCTTTACTTCAACTTCAGTGACTTCCATAGTATATTTAAGCACAATAAAGAAATGAATACAGGTTTGGAACAACATTAGAGTGAGTAAATAATGACAGAATTTTTATTTCTGGGTGCATTATCTCTTTAAGGACAAGTTGCAGCATATTACCGGTATTATTGTCTCTTTAAAGTCCCACTCCGATCATATTTTGAGCTATTTTTAAACATTACCAGTGGTCTTTAAATTATGATTATGCCATTTTTAGCCAAAATCACAAAACCTGTGCCGTTTTCTGAGACTTCGCTTCAGCAGAGCGGCAGTAGCTCATTAGTAATTCGCCTCTGCGTTGCGGGCGGAGCCGTTGGCACGGAGACGACCCTCCCCCTGCCCGTTGCTGAGAGCTCTGTCTCTCCCGCTAGCTTACACCCCCAATACCGGTGGGGCAACAGTATTATATACACGTTAATTATTATTATCCGAAGTTAATCAAAGTTATCACCGATCACCGATCATTATTTCACTCCAAGACGTCGCGTGTGGAGACGCCCAGTGGAGTTACTACGTCACAACTCCAGTCTATTTTAGCCGGCATTTTAGCGTCTGCTACTGATTCACAACCATTTGAATGTAGAAATACTCAGAAATACAACTTTGAGCTTATTTTTCTCAAGATATGTCCTCTAACATCAGAAAAATGCCACAAGAACATGTTAACACCTAGAAAAACATTATTTTCATCGGAGTGGGTCTTTAAGAACTGCACGCGACGCGTCTAATATACACGCATTTGACAAGCAGATTTTCTCTGTTTGCTTTCACTTTAGACATAACCAACTTTGTTTATGTAAACCTTGTGTGTATTTGACAGTATCAGCCAATAAGACTCGAAAGATTAGTCCAGTATGCAGGCGCTGTGACAGGCTTTTAGTTCCTGTGAGCGTCGGGTGTAACGCGCTCAGAAAAGCGGATGTTAGAACAGCGCATCAGCGCGTGAATGACATGTTTAACTAGCAAGACTTTGACGCACATGCAAATAATGAACTTTTGTGAATTGCGGTGTCCCGTGAGTGTAACTCTACCTCTGCGTTTACATGTGATGTGATGTGATGTGAATGTACGTCGCGTTGTACAGTATGTTGAGATGAAGGCGCCAGAATTGAACTGATAGAATGCACGATACTATGATTTTTCTTCAAAAGCAGATCGTGGAGACATTTTAATCGTCCACGATCAAAAAACGCGCGAGACGCACACCCCTAGTTGGAAGTTTAAGTTGCTGGCGCTCATGCTTCATTCGCGGTCGTCACGTGCGCATAGGAAACACGCCACCCTATCGGCAAGGCTCATCGGCAGAAATATTCATATCGGCCGATGCCGATGACATTCATTTTAAGCTTTTATCGGCCGATACCGATGTTGTCCCGATATCATCGTGCATCCCTAGTAAAAACCTTGTGAAAGAGAAGTACACCTAATTGTATTGAATGTGCTCTTGTAGTGTACTTGAAATCTTACAAGTATATTTAAAAAAACTGTACTTGCAGATAATATAATATTAATTAAATAAAAGGTAACTTACGTGTACCTAAAATACATATAAAGATGCACTCAAGTCCTACTCAAGTGGGTCAAAACAGCACTCAAAATTGTAGATAACTGCATTTAATTTGAATTTAAACTAATATATTTTCAATTAATGGCAATTAAATGTCCACAAACATCTCATTAAGTTCACACTTAAGTATAGTCGATTTAAAAAAAGTGTACTTTTTTTCACAAGGGTAAGTCTAATAAGAAATGGATGCGTTTTAGTCACTGATGCAAAAAAAGAAAGAAGCAGCTGTGTGAATGAATTATACTGAACATGTTGCTTAGTAAACATTTAGATCTTACCACTAACAAAGCTGCATTTATACAGAACATCAATTAAACACTTTACTCATTATTTTCAGTCAAACATGCTGTAGTAAAAAAAAAAAACCATGGCAACATATTTACACATAGGAATATTGTATGCTAACTGCTACTTTGCGTTTAATTAGCAGTGATTGGACTAGTTGACGATAGTCAAGCTATGAACAGCTGTAGAATAAACAACTGACAAGATATAAATTAGTTGACATTTGTACCTTTGTTTGGTTAATTGCACACAAACACACACACGTTGCTTAGCACAGTCTTTCACCTGAGTGTAAAATACACTCCAGAGATGTTGATGGGCCCGTAATTAACACATTAAAGTTGAAAATGTAAAATGATTGAGTGCGCCCCAGAAAACAGCACAAATAGACAAGACAGAAAAATGTGTCCACACAATTTCCCCAAGGAGCCACAAAACTGCATGTCACTATTTACACTGCATGATGTGTTTGTGTGCGTATGTGTACGACTGTACGTGCTGGGCCAGTAGAGCAATGTTTAATTTATTGTAAAAAATGATAATTAGTGCATTACCCAAGCAGGACGTTTTTAATCAGAGAACGCCTGAGGGGAAACTTTGTCAAACTTTACCATTCTCCAGCAATTCAAAATCGTGTCAGATGTGCATCACAGATTCACCCCATTGCTGAAACTCATATTTCTTTTCTTCTGGCCCCACTCAAACGAAAGATGAATAGTTTGCCATGGGCCATTTTTCTCACTCTGACAGGTAGAGAGAAAATGGGCAAAGTCTCGCTCTGTTTACCGTGTTTTAATTCCAGGCAGGGTTTGGCATCACAGTGATTTTTGGAGGTGAAACTCAAAAGGGACGCTTTGCTCTATCTAGCAGGTCCAATGGCACTTAAAGTTTGCCTGAGGCAGAAAGGATGTTCCCTCACAGAATCTACATGTAGAAGTGACATGTCTCGCTCATGGGCACAACTGAGGGAGCGATTCTTTTCACCCAGCACTATAAATTGTCTCCAGTGCTCCACTGGTATGAATTATCAGATATTCATCAAGTTATTCATACTGTTTCTACTGCTAGAAAAGAATAGAACAGAAGAATGGAATATTAGTAATAATCAAAGCATTTTTAAATGAACACAAGGAATAACTTTCATTCGCATGCACCAATCTAACAATACATGTACTAAACATGTTATAAATATATAATAAACAGCGATATTCACCTAATTATATGTTTGCTAACAATATGTCACACAGTCCAATGGCGCAAAGGAATCAGTGACATTGAATCAATTTGAAACAGAAAGTTTAAACTTGACATAAAAAAATTGGTTTTCCCAATGTTCATTTCCCCAATGGATGGAATCCTTAAATGGGTACTGACGTCAGGGCCACTATGACTGGCTTACGAGGCGCACATAATCCAAATTGACTGTTACGCTTTCTCCACTTATTCAGATGTGGAGGTTGCCATTTCCTCCTTTAATAAGAACATGTCTGATTTAAATCAGGGATGCTAAAAGGAATGTTTCGATGGTGTCAAACTGACAGCAAAGAATCTTGAAATTATGCTACCTTCAAGTGCACATGGGAAATTCGTACTTCCATGTTGGGCATTCTTTATTACTATATGTCCCACATTTAAGTCATGAACTTAACATGGAAGTAGATTCTATTGTGAACAACAAACCCATATGGCTACATCTGAATTCATTAAATATAACTTCACTCGGTCATGTGCTGTAATTGAGAAAATTTGAAGCTGATACCAGTTGTTAAAAAGGCCCATTGTAACTGTATTTGTGTTTGTGTCTGTGAGACTTGCTCTGCCAATCAGCCAATGTCAAAGCACGCTGGCAAAGCAGCAACGTGAAGACACTAGGCTCCGCCCATCTCTAGCAGGTGGCATTGATTAGCATTTGTACTAAATAGCTCTGCATGTGGTGAGTGTAGCAAACAGACTCTGTGCTTTCTTGCCATTGAGGTGTGCGTATATTATACAAGTAAGTAGGTTTATGTATTTCAACTCATGTTAACTGTTTGATGAAATGTATTTGCTTATTTGATATTATTTGTCTACTCCTTGTTTAAGGATACTTCTAAGTGAAGTAGGGATTTGATTTGTGTTCACATTTACATGATGTTGCTTGTTTCATGGAAGCATTTCTGCTACATCTCATTGTATTTATCTTGTTATTTTGTGTTTCTGTTATGTTATATTGATATATATATTATGTTTTGTTTAGACCACACCCATACTCATGGCATCACGACTGTACTCATCCGCACTTATGTGCTAAACCTTTATTGAAGCTTTATGGAATTGTGGTGGAGAAAATAAAGCTTTAAAGAGAACTTTCTGCTGCTTCTTCATGTCTCTAACCGGACATCTGTGGTGAACTAGTCCCCTACTGGCAAACCCAAACTGATTGAAAGTCAACAGTTTTCTTTATGGTCCTTCGAGCCGGAGAGAGAGTTTTCTACAGTTATGGAGAAGCAGCTACCAGCTGAAGTCCCTGTTGTGCGGCCCAGGAGACAATCGTCTTTTCCAGCACATTTGCAGGATTATGATTTGACTGGTTATAACCTGCATAGATCCATATCACCACCCAACTAT